AAATTTTACCAATTTTACTTCTAACACATTTGGCCCGCCCTCTGTGTCTTATTTCTTTAAATGTCTTTTTTGATCAATTTATGTTATTTCGTAATGTTATGTATTTATTTTGATTGTATTTTGCTTCCCTGTATTTTATTTGCTGTATTTGTATTTGTATTGTTGTAATTTTGGTTAGCCACCCCAAGTCCCCGTTGAGGAGATGGTGGCGGGGTATAAATAAAGTTTATTATTATTATTATTATTGTTAGTAAGTTAAATCGTTTCAAATATCATGTATGTCACAAAAATTAAGGGAGTAAATTTTAGAGAGTAAGAAAAAACAATTATCAGTGTACAAAGTTATTATTAATACATCTATTTCTTCATATCAGTTATAATTACAAGAAAGATCTAAAAAAGCCAAAACACGATGTATCCACTATATCAAAGAGAGGAGTAATATTGTCACCAAACATTAAATATCTTCTTTAAGTATTATTTCATGGCCTTCCAGTCTCCTCCCCAACTCTGGCCTATTAAAAACTCATCATCATTATTATCAAATTATTTGTTTTAAATGCTTTATCTAATTTTAGTTATTACATGCATGATCAATCTAAATGTGTAATTTAATCTGCTAGTAAGTTAGTATTGTATAATGCAAACATTTTATATGTTTCACTGTCATAATTTCCTCCTTTTTAAACAATGCACAAGTTTGTACATATCTCTCTGTTTTAAAGAATCCAAAAATAATAAGAGGAAGAAAATAAACCCATATAAATTATCTAAATTCTCATAGATGATAGAGGATGTGGGACAGAAAAGGGATGAGATATAGATGCAAAGCAATAATAATTTTCTTTAAAGTGCTTTTAGTCAGCAAATTTTGTTGTAATCATCATCTTCTGATTGTTTATAAATTCTATGAAGGGCTTCTAAAATCCGTCCCTTCAGTTGTGAATAAACTTTTCAGGTTTTTTCTCTCCAAAAAATAAATTCTTTAATCCATGTCCCTTCCGCTGCGTCAATGAGATATTAGGTGGGGTGGAACGGCCCATCTGAAGAGAGGTTTGAGGACCTTTGGGGTTCAAGCTACCATGGGAAGAGCAATGGCCCTAAAACAGCTGCTCCCCCAAAGCAAGTCTGTCCTCTTCCCTCTGACCTTGTCCTCCTCTCTCCTTTGCAGAACATCAGGAAGGTCTGTCAAGACACTTTTTCGTGTTGCCGGAGGAGGAGATCCATTAAAGTGGCTCCTGTCAGGTATCCACCTTTCCTCCTTCTCTTCTGCTTGTTTTAATTTAATTCACTGGTGTTTTAGTGAGCACCCTTGATCTGTTGCTGACATTTTGCTGTTTTCTCTCCTTCTCTAGTGCTCCAGAAGAATCGAAGGAATCCTCCTCCATGGATATCTCTTTGGAGATTTGGGTAAGGAAGGAAAAGCAGGAGCATTGTACTTCTGCGAAGAGGAGGGGATCAGAATTTGAATGAAGTCTCTTTTCGTTACAGCATTTCTGGATGGTATCTGCGCCACAGCCAGGCCCGATTGCAAGGCATGAGGACCCCCTTCGAGTGGAGTCCTATGAATCCTGGGTAAGGAGTGAAAGGCAGGAGTACTGTTTTTCTGCCAAGGGGAAAGGGAGGCCAAGCTTTCAGAGAAAGTCTCCGAATAATCACTTTGATCTTCTTTTGCAGCGCACCTTGACCAACACAACAGAAGAAGGGAGCATGGGCACACTGTGGAGCCAACAGCCCCAGGAAGAGAAGTAACTTCTCGCTTTTTGGGTGGGGGTTGGATCTCCTTGTTGAGCTGGAGGAGTATTTGGGTTTTATGTTCTTACATATATTTTTGTTTCTCTTAGCTCAACAACAGATATCAAGATTGAAGATTTAGAAGAATGAAGAACATCCTGGGACTGCTGGCTCTATAGTGTCTCCATCGCTCCACCCAGGATTCATAGGACTCCTCTGAAACAGGGTCCTCGCTCCTTGACTCCTGGCTTGGTTGCAGTGCTGATACCATCCAGAAATGTTATATCAACTGAGTTGTTTTATATTGTGAGTGATTTCTATAGTTTCTTTATTTGTAATTGAAAAATGTAAAAAGTAGTATAATGCTCCGGCCTTTTGCTTATGTTCCGTACCCAAGAGTCATGTAAATGTTTATATCCCAACAGGCTTAACTCCAAAGATGCTGCTGAGAACTTGTAAAAGAAAAGCTTGCATGGGGCCAGCCTCCCCAAATATACTGGGCGTGTGCAATCTCACCTGAAGCATCCAGCAAGAAGGAGATGAAAAGGAGGACAGGAGGCTTCAACATTTCCAGAGTGGAAGGTGCAGAATACAGACCAATTCTTGGGAGTAGCTACACCTCACTGCCCCCACCCCCACCATCCTCAGTCTACTGGCAAGTGATAGCTCACACATGAGTTATGACACCACAACTGATACAATCTATGTTCCTCTGGACTTTTACCAAACTGATCAGTAGCCTACTGCCAGCATCAAATAAGACTCTCCCCCACCCCCCCTCAAGGACCTCATATCACATTTACCATCCCCTAAAAAGGCCCAGGATGTTTTTACCCTCACAATTCTGTATTCAATATGTACCTAAAGAACTTTGTGTTTTGTGGGATGGAGTGGGAGCAGGGAGGGTATAAAAGAAGGGCTGAAAGGCTATGGAGAGAGAGAGATGGGAAGGGGGTGAGAGAAGGGGTCTATGTTATTAATTGCAGCAATTATATGTTTCATGCTTATGTCTATGTTTGATGTTTTTATAGTTTTAATGGTCTTAATCTACAGTTATATGTTATTTGATTTAGATATGGGATATTTTTATCTATATGAGGCACTGAATTTGTCATTGATTATGTTGTAAACCCAGGGGTGAGAAAAACAGTATAGAAATGTAGTTAATAAATAAATAATAAATAAGGAAGGAAAGACAGAAGAGAAGTTTTGTGTGATTTCTATAATTTATTTATTTTTAAAATAAAAAAATTAAAGTAGTATAATGCTCCTGCCTTTTGTTTTGTTGAATTTGTGCCAGGTGGTGCAAGGATTCATAGAACAGCATTTCTCAACCTGGGGATCGGGACCCCTAGGGGAGTTCACGAGGGGGTTTCAGAGAGGTCGCCAAAGAGCATCAGAAAACACATATTTCTTAGGAACCCCTTTGGCAGAGAAGGCTAAAGATCTCTCCATCTGTCCTTCTCTTCCTTTTTGGAAAAAGATGGCAAATACTCCCATCAAAAGCCCCCATCCTGCTGTGATTGGCTGGCCCCTGTGATTGCAGGGGTCTCAGGAAGTGATGGGGATTGTTTTGCACAAGGAGCCAATCAGCTGGAAGGATGCAGTCCATGAGGAAACAATGGCACAGATATGCTGATGAGGCTATGATTAGCTCAAACATCCAGTTCCATGCAAAACAAAGATATGAAGACCAAGATGAAAGACTCAAGAGACAAAGATGTTTATCTTAGGTAATCAAGGACTTGCCTGTCCATATAGACAATTAATTAATGCACATATTCTAGACCCCCAAAGAGAACAGCAGACTTTCAGCTTCAGGTAAAATGCACGAACATCTTGAGTGTATCTGCCTGTCATCGATGCATGTGAAATGTCAGGAGAGAATACTTCTAGAACATGGCCATATAGCCCGAAAAACATACAACAACCCAGTGATTCCAGCCATGAAAGCATTATGAGTTTTGTCTTGTAGAACAATTTAATGGAAGAGTACCTCCATATTTCATCTCATATTTCAGTACTTATAAAGACTAGAAAGTTACAAAAAAGATCATGAAATCAGAAGGACATAATAGTCCACATGGCTACTGGCTGGCAGATCTAGATTCCAGATAAACATAGTCAACTTGGTGGCATGCCAACCTTAGCATGTGTACACTTCTTGCTTTGGAAATGCATGGGAATCATGCTAAAGGGAAAAGAATGGCAACCACATAGAGGTTTCCCACTGGCCGTTGCTGCTGAATGCCTCACTTGTAGACTCCATGGGAAACACCATTGGCTCTTGGTATGCAGAATGGCTGCCGGATTATTGCCAAGAGGCACAAAGACTATTGTTAATCACATGTAGCAGCTGCAACAGGCTGTGCCTAAAGTCAAGGCACCCATTATGAGGGGCTTCTGAGGAGTGAGTGAGAAAGGATGCTGCTACCTAAGTGCTCTTGCATTCCTCATGCACATTCCTTTGGTGGTCTCTTTGGTTTCCACATTCAGAGGTTCTTCTGTTTAAGGAAATAGACTCAAGGGATGTGGCAGCAGCACAAGGGAAAAGCTGGATCTTTCTTTAAAATTCCCAATAAGTACACTACATTTTAGGATTGTCTGCTCGCTCCATCTCTCTCCAAATACCTATCCTAGTTATATGTCACCTTGTCATGCCCAGCATTTTTTTCTTTTTAAATTTTAATTATTACATTTGGCCCTGCCATAGGTTTTTAATGTGTCATGGTGTTATTGTTACTGTTTATTGCTTTGTTTATGAGTTTATTTATTGTCTGTATTGCTGTTGTTGCTTTTTTGCTGATGTATTTGGGCTCAGCCTCTTGTAAGCTGCACCGAGTCCTTCGGGAGATGGTAGTGGGGTATAAACAAAGGATTATTATTATTATTATTATTATTATTATTATTATTATTATTATAGTGCTGCAGTGGCAAAAGAGGGCATTTTTATTTTAAAATAAGGCAAGAAATGTGTGCCTTGTTTTACTACTTAATTGCTTCTGAGAATCCATTCTCAATTTTATTTTAGTATATAAAAAGGTAGGCTATAGATTAGTGCTCACATGCATATGTACACACACATACACACCCTCCTATACATCCATTTTAATTCTGCCTGTAAGAAAAATGACTGTTTGGTCTCTTAGGACAATTGGTGGAGTGAACGGCTTGGTATTTCATGTTTCTTTACCTCATACATATTGGGCGAGTTCATCTGGAAATGTGTTATTGTTTGGACAACAACAGTAGTTACTTTCCCTCTCCAATGCAGCAGATATTCCTGCAACCTGATGAGCAATGGGTTATTAAACCAGTATTATGTTTGTTTCAAGGGGGAATTCCAGTAACCAGAATTTTCCTTTGGCTTTGATGGAAAGATTTACTTCAGCCACCTCTTTTCTTGGTGTAATATTACATGATCCTAACTGTAATGATTTCAGCTTTAAATGCAGTTAGAGAGTCTGTGCCTGGTGAGCATAAGCTAAACCAGGTAGGCCAGGACAGAGAGATGAACTCACCAGGTTTTTTTTTTTTTTTGTCGTGTCAGGAGTGACTTGAGAAACTGCAGGTCGCTCCTGTTGTGAGAGAATTGGTCGTCTGCAAGGACGTTGCCCAGGGGACACCCGGATGATTTTGGTGTTTTATCATCCTTGTGGGAGGCTTCTCTCATGTCCCTGCATGAGGAGCTGGAGCTGATAGAGGGAGCTCATCTGCCTCTCCCCGGATTCGAACCTGCGACCTGTTGGTCTTCAGTACTGCTGGCACAGGGCTTTAACCCACTGCGCCACCGGGGGCTCACCAGGTTGAAGACAAGCCACAGAGGTTTGTTACAATTTGGCCCAAAAGGATGCAAGTACAAGCAATTTGCTTCAAAGGATACAAGCATAAACAAACAGGGAAAGTCATCTTATACAATTCTGACAGCCATTCAAACCTCCTGCTCCCTCCCCTTTTTGGCTGGGAAAGAGATTGGCCAGGAGCCATGCCAGGATTGCGGAGAGCTCTGTTGATGTCACCACCTCCAGGTGGGGATTTCCTGGGTGGGGGAAATGGCAGCTAGGGATTGGTTTGCACAGGGAGTCAATCAGCTGGGAGGGTGCAGTCCATGGGGAAACAATGGCACAGATATGCTGATGAGGCTATGATTAGCTCAAGCATTCAGTTCCATGCAAAACAAAGATATGAAGACAAAGATGCAAGACTCAAGAAACAAAGATGTTCATCTTAGGTAATCAAGGCTGTCCATATAGACAGTTAATTAATGCACATAGTCTAAACCCCCAAAGAGAACAGCAGACTCTCAGCCTTAGGTAAAATGCACAAACATCTTGAGTGTATCTGGCTGAAAAAGGAAATCGCCTATCCTTCCATACACATAATGAATCTGATGATTATCTGATTTGGGAAGCAGCTAGAGGGATTTGTTCAACCTTTCAATTCTTAGGAGATTATCTAAACAGGGTGATAGAGGGATGGCTGTCTCTAGGTTACAATTTAATACATTTTCAAGAAACTGGTTATACACTTCATAGAAGAAATAGACAAACTGATACAATCAAATTGATACAATTTATAAAAGGCTTAGGCACAATATAGTTTAAGGTGTACAGCTGCTACTAGGTCTGTTTCTGATCTTTGAAAGCTTCGAACTTGTGCAACTCCGGATCTCTAGAAAAGGTTTCTCATTTTAAAAAAATCATTTATTTATTTATTTACAGTCTAATAACAAACTGTACATCTTTTGGAGGGTGTGTGTAATGTGGCTCTATAACAATGTTTCTCAATCTTCCTAATTCCACGACCCCTTAGTACAGTTCCTCATGTTGTGGTGACCCCCAAGCAGAAGATTATTTTTGTTGCTACTTCACAACTGTAATTGTGCTTCTGTTATGAATCGTAATGTAAACATCCTATATGCAGGATGTATTTGCATTCACTGAACCAAATTGGGCACAAATATCCAATAATACAACCAAATTTGAATACGGGTGGGATTGTGGAGAGGATTGATTTTGTCATTTGGGTGTTGTAGTTGCTGGGATGTATAGTTCACCTCCAATCAAAGAGCATTCTGAAATCCACCAATGATGGAATTGAACCAAACTTGGCACATAGACATCCCATGACCAACAGAAAATACTGGGAGGGTCTGGTGGCCATTGACCTTGAGTTTTGGAGTTGTAGTTCACCGACACCCAAAGAGCACTGTGGACTCAAGCAATGATAGATCTGGACCAAACTTGGCACAATACTCAATATGCCCAAATATGAACACTGGTGGAGTTTGGGGAAAATACACCTTGACATTTGGGAGTTGTAGTTGCTGGGATTTATAGTTCACCTGCAATCAAAGAGCATCCTGAACCCCACCAACGATTGAACCAAACTTCCCACATAGAACCCCCATGGTCAACAGAAAATACTATGTTTTCTGAAAGTCTTTGGCGACCCCTCTGACACCCACTCGCGACCCCCACAGGGGTCCCGACCCCCAGGTTGAGAAACACTGCTCTATAACATAATGGGCAATAATGGACTCTAACTGGGGTATATAGGATTCTTACAAGTCCTCCCGCACTTCCACACGCTTCTAAGACATTTCAGTGACACACGACGTAAAACTACTTCCGGTTGTCATCTATTGTACTTTGTCCCTGAAATGTAGTAGAAGTGGGTGGTGGGAGTGTTCTGAAATAAAAAAAATCTGGCAAATGATACAAGGAAAAATTCAGGAGATATTCCAGATAAAAATTCAAATTAATAATGATTTACTACTATGGGGAGTGTTGGATCATCCGAGTATAATAACTAATTGCCAGGAGTTATTTAAGGTAAAATAAGAGCAGCCCAGGTGGTGATTGCTAGATGATGGAAAGACAAATCAAAATGGACGTTAAGTAATTGGAATGATTATATGTATAACTAAGTGCTGTTAGATATTATGGGAATTATGACTAAGCAAGCACCAAGAATGGACAAATAAAAGATCATTACAAAAAGATGGAAGGTCTACTTCCACTGGGTGAAAAATGGAGGAGCCAACGATCATATCAAAGAAAAAATACAAAGACTCTACCAGTGGCTGGATCTGCAAGATTAGTAGAAATATATTGTGGTTGAAGAGGGAGGGAGAGGGAGGGAGGGAGAGGGAGGGAAGTTGGATATAATGTAATATACACCAGTGTAAATTAGCATAATGTCTTTAATATTTGTTGAATTACTCAGGATTTAT